CATTTGTTAAACAGGCCACTTTGGAATTTAGCTCTCGGGCAAAACAGGCTCTGCGTGTATCCACTTGGCCAGAACAGTACTCATGCTAACAGATTTTAACTCAGCCATTTATGGACCTCACCCCTTCACCTCCATCAGCCCTATCCCAGTATGAGGGTCCTGAGGCCCACTGAGCGTTCTCCATCTCTCTCCCAGGGAGGCCACTGATGCAGGACCTCTCCACCCGCATGCCGGGATGCCAGATGGCACCAGCCAGCCGGTGTCGCATAACTTGCTACGCACTGTGGCCTTTTGACTCATGCCTGTGTGCCCTTCCTCAGCACAGTGCTCCAGCCTTGGGCTTGGCCTTTGGTCAATATTGGCAGAGGGAGGGCATGTGGCTACTGCCATTCAGAGGCAGGGCCTTTTCTATAGGAGGAGGGTCGTGGCGCTGGCACGATCCAGATGTTGCTCCCATCCTGCCCTCCACCCACAGCTTCCCAATGGTTTTCCAAGGTGCACCAACGCCTAGGACATGGGGACCTTGTAACTGCTTGGTCCCCAGTTCTGAGGAGGGTGAGAGGGAGGTGAGGGAGAGGACTATGGAATCCGTAACAGCCCCTTTATTATTTGTTTTGTGTATGGGTTCCCCCACCCCCCACCCCCCCAAGACCTCATTTGAAGAAAATTCTGGGCATTAAAAAAGAAGTCCAAGAAACTGCAGAATTCCTGTAGCCCTCTTGTGTAACAGATGGGAGCCTAAGGTCAGAGGGCAGAGGCCCAGGATAGTCAGCAAACAAAAGCCAGGGCTGGGACTTGAGTTCTTTGGATTCCTTGACTGGCAGTTTACTCTCTGACCTCTTCCATCCTGCCAAGTCTTTTCAAAACGAAGAGTGATGGGTTACCCCCTCCAAAGCCTAACCTTCAGGTGACCTCAGGGATTTACTCCTCTTGCCATTTCCTTCAAGCTTTCCAGTGATGTCAGGACTTCTGCCTGGCCGAGCCTGCCGTGAACCCCACGGTGGCCCTGGGGACAGAAGGTACTCATCAATCTTTAAGGCAGAGAGGAGAGGAGGGAGAGAGCTGCTGCATTTATCAGTACCAGTGAGGCCCTAGGCGCCATGCCAGGGGCTCCCAGGTCCTGATTTAAATCACCATGAACACACTGGGGGAGATAGCTCCCACTTCACGGATGAGAAAACGGGAGGCTCTGAGAGGAAAAAGTGGATAATCAGAAGGTTCTTGGCTTCTGTGAAGCTTCCAGCAGGAGGTCTCCGATGCCAAATCCTATGCCCTTCCGGGTCATGTCCTCCCCCACCTTGCTTCCGGGTACTGGTCCCTGAAGGAAACAAGGTTTCTACCTGGTGCTTTCTATGTAGGTCAAATTCTATTCTAGCAACTTTTGGGTCTTGGCTAGTCTGAGCCAGGCAGGATAGCCCAGGCCAAAGCTTGGAAGCCTCTGGCCACTGGGTAGATTTTGCTCTAAGCCAAAGTTGGCAAACTATGGTCTGTTGGCCAAATCTAGCTTGTTGGCTCAGAACGGAGTTTACAATTTTTAAGTGGCTGGGAGGAAAAAAAAAGACTAATATTTTGTGGTACATGAAAATGATACCAAATCCAAATTTCAGTGACCACTGAAAACATATTATTGGAACATAGTCACACTCATTGATTTGTGTATTATTTATAGCTGCTTTGCACTACAAGGACACACAGGGACTATATGACCCACAGAGCAGAAAAAGTTCGTCAGGCTCTGCCTAAAGCCCTAGGTCCTCTGACTGGCCATGTGCAAACCGAACACATGAACTGCACAGGATGCTCAAAGCCTTCCAGGTTTTCAAATCATTCTCTCTAAATAACCACAAAGGTGTCTGTCCTAAAATGAGATGTTAAGAGCAAACACGCAGGGCTGTGTGCACGGGCCTTGGTCCGGTCGTGGACATCGGCAGAAGCTGACACCCCAGACACGTACCCATTCAGTGGGGAGTTGGGTGTCAACGCGACCTTGATGAAATTAATTTGGTAAGACCATGGGAATATGCAGAGGTCTCTGGCAGCGGACAAGTGCAAATCCCAGCTCCCTCACTCGCGTGACCTTGAAAAAGCCTATTCCCTTCAGACCTCTTTTTCTCCGCAAAAGAGGTTTCCTAACAATACATGACTAAGGGACGATCATACCTGTAGGCACATTCCCCACACTGTTCTAGTTGATGGAGAATTGGCAATAAATTAAACCAAACTGCTGCCTTCACAGAACTTGATATTTTATTTGGGGACAGGTGGGCAGGAAATAAATACCTAAGATACATCAGGTGGTTGAGTGGTATGAAGAAAGAAAGTGATGGGGGTGCTATAGCTTAATCACAGTGGACGTGCCTGTAATGGAATATTATGCAGCGGTTGGAAAGAATGCAACACATCTGTATGCACTTGATATGAAGAGAGTGCCAGGGTAGACTGTTAAGAGAAAAAGCAAGGATGTACGCTTTGTTAAGGAAGGAGGGGAAAATGAACCTGTATAATGGCACTTGGCTTATACTGCCAGAGCAAATACACCTGTAAATATTTACCTCCAAGGGACGGTGGGTGAACAGGATGGGCTGTGCAGAACTATGTAGAAAGGGTAATCCAATCACATAAAAGTCACATTTATAGGCACATAGATACATGTGCCCAGAAGGAGGTCTGTGAGGGGAACCACCAAACCATTACAACTGGGAGACGACGTTCACTATTTTGCTTTGTGTGACGGACTCTACTACTTCTGCAATCTTCTAAAATCCTCAGCCTGACTCAGAGAGGGGTGTATGACCCTCACTGCACTTGAGAAAATAAGCTCCAACAGGAGGTGGACTCATTCTGCCCTGAGTTCAAAGCCTGGCAGCCCTACTCAGTTACTACAAAACCCCAAGGTTTAGGCCTTAGCTACTGCCTCTCTGGCTTGGTGGCCGGATGGCAGAGCCCTGGGCTCCACTCCACCCCTCCCACAGAGGGAGGTTAACAATCAGAGTTTTGTTTTGGTGGCAGGCCTGGGCCTACCAGCCTGGTCACGGCCTCTGGGAGTCCACGAGGCCAACCAGGAGCCTGCTCAGCCTCCACCATCCCGGGGACGCCAGTTACCCAGCTGAGTGGCTTTGTCACCTGCATGCCCAGGAGTGAGGAGGGGGAAGGGTGAGGCTGCAGGTCCCATGCCAATGTGGCACACTTCCCCCTTTGTTCCACGCCTCCCCAGCTCTGCCAGCCCCGGGGGAGGGGGAACTGAATGCCTGTACCCTTGGAGCCAGAGAAGAGGGCTCAGCCCTACACCCTGCGACCAGGAGGCGCTGGGTAAAGCTGAGCTCCCAAAAGTCACAAAGCTGATTATGGAGGATTCGGGACGGACCCAGCTCTGTGGCAAGTAGAGGTGGGTCCCCGAATGGCTCAGCATGGGACAAGGATGGTAACGGATATGTTTATACTGTCCGTGCACCCAAGCTGGCCATACCAACGGTCTTCCCACCTCAACAGCCTCCACTTTGGGTGGCACTTGGCCAGTTTCACCTTACTTGCCATGGGGTAGCAGGCTTCCATCTCCAGGGAAGGAAATCAAGGCTCTGAGGAAAGTCACTTCCCCAAGGTCATGGTTTTGTGAGGACATGTTTTATATCCAAACACAGAAAGATTTCAGTTGTCAAGTTATATCTACTCCAACTTTTATTGATTGAGTTTTTTCAAAATTGGGGGGGGGGGTGGGCGCCTGGGTGGCTCTGTCGGTTTTATATAAATTTAAAAAAATAAACATTAAAAAAAAGACTGTTCTTTTTATTTTTTTAAGTTTATTTACTTAGCGCATGTGAGAGAGAACAAGCTGGGGAGGCAGAGAGAGAGAAGGGGACAGAGGATCCAAAGCAGGGTCCCTGCTGACAGACAGCAGAGAGCCCAACGTGAACTGTGAGATCGTGACCTGAGCCGAAGTTAGACCATAGATGCCTGAGCCACCCAGACACCCCAAAAAAACTTACCTAAAATAAGTTTTTTAATGTTTTATTTATTTTGAGAGAGAGAGAGAGAGAAGAGAGAGAGAAGGCATGAGCATGGGGCAGAAAGAGAGGGAGACAGAGAATCCCAAGCAGGCTCCGCACTGTCAGCATAGACAAACCACGAGATCATGACCCGAACCAAAGCCAAGAGTCACACACTAACTGACTGAGCCACCCAGGTGCCCCTATCTAATCCACCTTTGAAACTCCTACTGCACCCAGAAGGAGCTTGGCAAGTCCTGGAGTGTGGGAATTCTTGTTCATTTGTGGGGAATGGAGGGTGGCACAGAACATGGGGTGTGGAAAAAGCATCTTTTTTTTAATACCATGGGACGTCACAAGTTTTTTGTGACACCCCTATCTTGGACAAGTTTCCTTTCCTTCTCAGGCCTCAGTTTCCTCACCCGTCAAACGGAGGGCTGGCCCATGCACAGGAAAGTCCCTTCCGGCTCCAACTTTTTTTTTTTTTGTTTTGTTTTATTTATTTCTAGGAGAGAGAGAGAGAGAGAGAGAGACACAGTGTGAGCAGGGGAGGGTCAGAGAGAGAGGGAGTCACAGACTCTGAAACAGGCTCCAGGCTCCGAGCTGGCAGTCAGCACAGAGCCCGACGCGGGGCTCGAACCCACGAACCGCGAGATCATGACCTAAGCGAAAGTCGGACGCTTAACCGACTAAGCCACCCAGGCGCCCCTGGCTCCAACTTTTCTTTATCTTCTCACGTCATCCTAGAAAGGCTGGCAGCATGTTTTGCAGTAGAAGGCTCAGTGTGTGACCTTGGGAAAGTCATTTTTCATTGGATGGTGATGTCACTGCGGCTTGTATCTCCCTCACAGGCCAGACAGCGTAGCCACATTAGCTGACCCATCTCTGGGCCCGGCACTCCCAGCCAGGTGCTACCTCTGCAACCCAGCTTCCCAATAACCCTGCTGCAGAATTGGTCAGTGGGATCGTTAATGCTTTACCGAGCAACCAACATGGCCTGGGCATCCTGGCGCTCCCCAAAAGCTCACATGGATTGTCAGAATGCCCGACTTCTGGACAGAGGCCACAACCCTGTTACAGGTCGCTTGGGACCCAGGTAAGTGCAATGCATCACGGGAGTCCAAAGAAGCAAGGAACGTTTATGGAGCATCTATGGGGATAGACCATTTTTTCTGAATTCTTACACACACTCTAATAAGGGAAATTAAATCACTGCAGATGAGGGAGCAGAGCTGAACTGGAATTCAAATCCACATCCACAAGACTTCTAAAGTCTATGCTCTTCATATCACTGAGGGGCTGGGGAGACCTGCGGATGTCTGATTTCTTCTTTATCTGGAAGGCTAGATAGCAGAGACCCCACAGAGGCCCGGGGCACCACAGGGAACTAGCCAGGAATTCTTCACAAAGGGCTGCTCGAGATGTCCCAGGGTCTGCCGGGCTCAACTGCTGCCCCAGAGCGGGCATGAGTGAACAGTTGGCTGGGAGGGGAGGCATTCAACCTGTCCCCGCTACTCAGTTAAACTCAGCGCCATGCGCAGAGGATGCAACAGAACACAGGGACATCAGTTAAGTCTATTCTCGGCACCCAGGAGATGAAGGGGTACACAGCAGAAGAACTTCAGGGGCACCTGGCTGGCTCAGTCGGTGGTGCCTGAACTCTTGATCTTGGAGTTGTGAGTTTGAGCCCCACATCTGGTGGAGAGATTACTTAAAAGTTTTTAAAAATCAAAAATCAAAAAAATAAAAACACCAAAAACTTCAGAGTCAGACACACCTGGTTTAAAGACCTTGGGTAAAGGGCCATAACCTCTCTAGGCCTCAGTCTTAACATCCTGCACAAAAAAGGGTTATGCTTACTGATCAAATCAACAGTCTCCAAAGGAAAGGGCTGTGTACAAATGACCTACAGAGGGTGTAGGGTGGAAAAAAAAAAAGTGGTTTTGGTTTTTGTTTTACCATAACTGTTACCTGTGTCTTTTTAAATTTCTATTTTATGTGGGGATATAGTCTACTAGTATAACAGTTATCTACATGAATTTTTAAATACAGATAGACCACTGAGGCGGTGCTCCAAAATTATTTACTGATGGACAGACAGTCAAAAGTTTGGAGGGCATTACATGAAAAACACCTACTAGCTACAGCATTTAGAACTAGCTCGTACAAGGCAGGCTTTGAGAGTTTAGGCAAACTCCGTTCAGCCCAAAATTCAAGAAAGGCTGTGGTGAAAGGGGGCAGTGGAGACTGAAAGCCCTTTCTGATTGACCTGGGTTCAGATCCAGCCCCGCCATGTACTAACTGTGTGTGTGTGACTTCAGGAAAATTACCTCCCTCCTCTGAGCTCCAGACCCGAGGACCAGCAGGGCTATATGGAGGGTCAGTGACACCGTGGAATTTTAACCAAGAGCCTAGTAAACTGTAAGTGGCTATTGATTTTCTCCTGTACTTTTCTGTCTCTGCTCAGAATATTCATTTAGCCACTCCACAAATAAAACACCCAGGTCTGGCTCAACAGGGCAGTTCTTACTCTTGAGGAAGTAAAAAAAAAAAAAAAAAAAAGAAAGGAAAAGGAAGAAAAGTCATTCTCTTTTACAGACAGAGAAACTGAGGCCCAGAGGGTTAAACGGCTTGTCAGAGCCCTGAGATAAAGCGGCAAGTATTTGGACTTTAAGGTCTCAAGCCCTTACCACCAGCTAAAAAAATCACTTCTTGTTTTATTTTTGTTCTATTCATAGCCAAGCATAATGGCTCAGCCATGACTGCGGGGTTCCTGACTCAAGGTCTCACCTCAAGCCCAAGGGCCAGGGTGGGGTGATACAAACTGTCTGGATTCAACAGGTATTCAGAGGACAGCCGGCGTCAGAGAGGCGCCGCCCTGCCCAGAAAAGACCCCGGTCAGTCCGTTCACACCTCCACAGCCCATAGGAAGGGCAATGTAGAGTTCTGTCCTCTCCCGCCTTACAGACTTTAAAAAAAAAAGGGGGGGGGGGGCCGACACTCTCGTGCCTGCTCCGGCCAAGAAGCTGGGAAAATTCAAGAGGAGCTTTTCAAAGAAAAAAAAAGTCCCTTGAAAACACTCTCTACAAGGGGGAGGGAGGGAAGAAAACAATGCCCTGCACACAGGAGGAGACCAATAAATATTTGTTGAAAAGGAACCGTTCTGGGAAAGTCACAAAGATCCCCCGCAGAACAAGCCTCTTTACAGATGAAAAAAGAGATCTTATCCAGGCAGAGGAAGAGACCACATCCTTTCAGGGTGCGGAGTGCCCACCGGGCCCCGGGCGTGCGCTCCTCCGGCTCGGCGGCGGCTAGGGGGCCCTTCCCGGGCCGGTCCCGAGGGACTCGCGGCTGCGGTCTCCCGGGTGCCTTCTCGGCCCGGCCCTCGCCAGCCCCGCCCGAGCAGAGAACCGTGCCACCGCGGAGCACCTCTCCCTGGTACTTGGCAAAGCTCTGGGGCCTGCCCTACGCGGAAAGAAGGGCCTCGGAGGCCGGCTTTCCCTCTGCGCCCTGGAGCCACGCATCCTGGAGTTGAGGCCCCGGGCTGAAAAAAAAGCGCCCTCCGCCTCAGAACCTCGGAGGACTGGCTCCGGGACCGCGCGACGCCGCCAAACAGCAGGCCGCGCGCGGAGTGTGGCCCCTCGCAAAAGGGGAGACCCAGCTCGGATGTCGCCGAGTGGGGGCGGGTCCCGCCGCCTCCGCGCGCCGGGGCCGGGGCCGGGGGCTCGGCCCTCTCAGCCAATGGGCGCCGCGCTCGAGCCCCCTCCCCCGCCCCGGGAGGAGTCGGCGCGGGGCCTCGCCGGGGAGATCGTGAGCGACGTGCCGCGCCGGGGTCCTGGGTGCCCCGGCCCCACCGGGCCGCGTGGACGGCGCGGCGCCCCCGGAAGGAAGCCAGATACTCAGTGCGGGCGCCAACTACGCACGCGGCGCCCTCGCGCCCGCCCCATCCCGAACCCATCCGCACCCGCGGCCCCCGCCCCGGCAGAGCGCGGCGCTGCAGGCCAGCGCCGAAGGAGGCTCAGAGGGGAGAGCCGCCCGCCCCGGGCGCACAGTGCGGAGGGGCGGCGGGGGAGGCTGGGGCCGGCCGAGGGTCGGAGGGGTCTGCGCCTTTGTTCCGGGCGGGGAGGGCCCGCGCCGCGAGCGCGCGACTCACCTTGCTGCTGGGCTCCATGGCCGCGCTGCGCCGGAGGCTCTGGCAGTGCCGGGTGCGCGGGCGGTGGCGGGCGGACGGGCGGCGCTCTCCGGTTCAGGCTCCTGCTCCGGTTCCGAGACTCCGACTCCGATTCCGGTCGTTTGGCCTCCTGCTCCCTGGCGAGCTCGTTCCCAGGACCCGCGGCCCAAGACCTCTGCGCTAGCTGGGGCTACCTCTAGCTTCTTGCCTCGAGCGCGCGGACGGTAGAGTTTATAGGACCCCAGCCATTGGCTGGCGCTGCCGGTGTGTGGGGGGGTGTGTGGGCAGAGCCTGGGGGCGGGGCCTGGGGCACGTCCGGGGCGGGGCTCGCGGGGAGGGGGCCAAGAGTGGGGGAGGGGTCGGGGATGAGGGCTGCAAGGCGCCTTGCGGGCACCCAGCTCTGGCGGCGGATCTCTCCCGCTGCCCGCGCCCTGGGTCTCGGGAGGCGCCGCTCGCTGTGTGACGCTAAACAAGTGTGCACACCTCTCTGAGCCTCGGCGACTTCTAGCAAAATGGTGGAGCTGGTACCCGGCTGTACGGCAAATTGGGAGCGGCGTAGGGTAACGCTTTGGGTCGCGGACTCTGCGGAGTCCTCACTCCGCCACTGTGTAACTTCCGTACACTAAGGATAATAATAGTGCCATCTCATAGGTTTGTTAAGATTAAGTGAGTTAATATTTATAAAGTGTTTAGAACGGTGTCTGTTTCGTGCTAAGTGGCATTTAAGTATTTGTTAGACAACTACAAGAGGTCTCGCTCCGCGATTTTCTCCTAACCCCTCTCCACCCCCAACATTCCTGTTTGTGAGCCAAGACTTGCTTTAGCACGGGCTGGGCCCTCTGCCTGATAATCCTTGCCCACCTCTTCTCTGGACTTTCTGTCACCTCCTTTGTGAAGTCTTGTCTACCCTTGACGACAGGTAAGTGTGAAAAACATGAACGGTAAGAGCACAGGAGGCCTTGGGTTTGAGCCAGCTCTGTTGCATACGAGCCCTAGCATGATCCTAGGCAACGTGCTGGCCTTTGCGCCTCGGTTTTCTTTCGGGTACAAGGAATTAACACCACCTTCAACTTCATGTGCTGTCATGAGAGTTATAATTTCCAGATAAGTCCACGAAGTACTCAGCACTTGCTGACACACAGCAAGTCCTCCCTTAGGGGTAGTGGTATTACTTCACCTTATTTCCTCTTCTAAATTGTGTCTTACTTGAGACACAGGGAAGGCAAAACCCCCCTGTCCAAACTCCTGAAGTTGAGCAGAGCGTGCCTGTCCCTGTGGAGAGGGACAGGGACGGGTTACTTTCAGCTGGAAAGGAGCAGGCTGAGCTGACCGCATGACTCCTGGGCTCCTCTGTCTGGGCTGTGTGTCCAGTGCTGCAGAGGGGACACCCTGGCTGGGCCTGGAGCCCTGGAAGCGGGAGCAGGCCCCTTCTGGACACACCCCTGCCGGGCGGCTTCTATTTCTGTGGTCTCCCAGCTGCTCAGCCTGGAAGGCTGGGGGGCACCTCTTCTCTTCCAGGTACCAGTGGCCGCCAAGTCCTGTTGATTTCAATTTCTGTACCACCCCAACCTCCTTCCCTCCCTGCTGCGTGCAGGGCCTCCGCTCCTCTGGTCTCACCTCTATTCCTGACCCTCGCTCTCATGCCCCATGTAACTGATGCTGCCCGAGAGGGAGCAAGGCCCAGCCTGCTTAGTTTACAAGCAATGCCTTGCCTCTACACCGGCAGTTTCTACATCTCTCTCGTTGCCTGGGTTGTTCCCTCTGCCTGATTCCCTCCACCTCCACCTTCATGTGCCAGAATCCTTCTGACAGCACAAAGCACCTCTGGAATGGGGCTTCTGGAAAGTGTCCCAGAGTCCCCCAAGAGAGAATCTTTACCTTCTTTATCCTTGGTGTCCCTTCTTCTTCTTCTTCTTCTTCTTCTTCTTCTTCTTCTTCTTCTTTTTTAAGTTTATTTATTTATTTTGAAAGGAGGAGAGAGAGAGAGAGAATCCCTGGCAGGCTCTGCAACTGTCAGCACAGAGCCCGATGCGGGTGGAGCTCAAACTCCCGAATTTTAAGACCGTGACCCAAGCCAAAATCAAGAGTGGGTCACTCAAGCGACTGAGCCCCCCAGGCGCCCCACAGCCTTTGGTGTTTCTTAGTGTGCTGCTGGTCCTTCCTGTCCTCCCCTAGATGGAGCACCCCAGGACGGCTTCTGTGGTGGAGACACATGGTGAGGGAGCGAAGGCAGGCGGCGGTGAATGATCATGTGAGTGCTAGTCTGCCTGCTTCCTGCCAACGCTTCTAGTATTTCCTTAAGCGTCTTTCTGGTGTTGCCACTTTCCTGCTCAAATTCTCCATAGCTCCCTGTTTCCAAGCACATCCAGTCTGTTGTTCATGCCTCCTCTTCCCAGCTATGGGTATGTCTCACTCAGCCCATGGGTCACGCTCACCATCAGGCTCCCTTTCCTTCTCTAGACCAGCCCTGTGTCAGTCACTTCCCCAGGGATGGCCGCCTGTGAGTCTGTTGCTAGCCTTATGGAGCCCCTAAACTGGAAAGGACGGAAGAGGGGAATGGACAGCAGGAATACCAAGGTAAGTGTACAGTGATAAGAATGTGTGTAGGAGCAGAACTTGTACCCCAGAGGAAGGAGGGGGAGTAGAGAGCTTCAGGGAAGGGAAGGGCCATGCTGAGCAGGGTTTAGAAGGCTGAATATGAGTTCACCAGGTGCATCATAGGGAAGGCCATTCTTGCCAGAGGGAAGAACGTGTGCAAAGACAGCAGGCAGGCAGGGAGAAAATGCTAAGGAAGAAAGAATCTCTAGACCACACTCAGAGACTGATGATGGACCCCTGGATTCAGACTCCTGAGTCTCAGCTCTGCAATTTATTTGCCAAACATCACCGAGCAAATCCCTTCTCTCTGAGCCTCATGACTCATATCTGTAAAATGAGTATAATGATTCCCTCCTGGATCACCCTGAGGAAGAATGGATATGTATAAAAGTTTATCCAAATAAAGAGTACTAATTCATGATATCAAATCAAACCCCCTTCCTGTGGTCAGGGTGGCGCTAGAAAACAAAGCAGAGTGGCCAGAAAAACAGCTTTACTATCACCCCTCCTCACCACACCTGCCCAAAGACACCCCCATTATCTGCTTGAAATTCCACTTCTGGGTGTTCTCTCTCTGCAAAAGTGTTATGACCCCCTACAGGCGACTGTTTAGAGGTAAATTCATGAGAAGCTATTAACTAGATCAGAGGTTAGATTCTCAGGTGGGCTGGGGGTGGCTGAGTCCTGAGAAACAGGATTTAACTCCAACCAGGGAGGTAACACTGGAGAAAAAGTCTAAATGGCATCTGAGCCCGGAAGGTTGGGATGCAATGGAAAGGAGAGCAGAAGCAAATGCCTAGAAGGGGTCATGGAGGTGCAGCCTTAAACCACAGACCCTCCTAAGCCGCCCCTGTGGCTGCCCTGTAGGGACCTGGGAGAGAGAGATCAAGTTCGGGAGCATTGGAGCAAAAGAAGAGTTGGGGTCATAAAGCCCCTCAAATGCCAGGGTATAGGAGTTAAGACTTTATTCAATAGGCGTTGGGGAGCCATGGAAGGTTTTTGGGCAGGGGAAGGACCTGAGGAAATCTCAGCTTCCCCTCCAGCCTCCACTACCCCTAAGGC